TGAAATAAAGACTCCTGGTCATTTTCACGCCCCGAGAGTAGAGAAAGGAGGGAGATGGGAGAGGAAGGCCGACAGGACGTACTGCTGAAGTGCGGGCAGTGTGTGTGCCTGATACAGTTCCTCCAGTGACTTCCTGTCTTTGTATGCAGATTATCCCGTCCAGTTGATTCGGACTCACAGGGGCCCTGTCGGACTGGGCAGACTGCTGCCCCTGTGGGTTCCGGGAGTGTGAATCTTCACAGGAGTAGAGAAGCCTCATCTTTCTCCCATGGAGTAGCTGAGGGTTTGAAACTTCTGATCTTTGGGTAGCAGCCCAGTGTATAAGCACTACGCCCCCAAGGCTCCTTACACAGATTATTATAATATTTTTTAAAAATCAAACTCTTTCTGTTGGACTGTTTCTTGGTCAGTGACGCTTTAGCATCTGAATGTTTTGTTACCTGTTAGACCAGTGGTTCTTAACCTTCCTAATGTCGTGACCCTTTAATACTGTACCTCATGTTGCGGTGACCCCCCCCCCCATAAAATTATTTTTGTTGCTACTTGATAACTGTAATTTGGCTGCTGTTATGAATCGGGGGACCCCTGTGAAAGGGTCGTTCAACAACCCCAAAGGGGTCACGACCCACAGGTTGAGAACCGCTGTGTTAGACTGACATCTACTTTTAAAAGTTTTGGGGTATGAGAGGGAATAATTAACATTATTAGAAGATTTTTAAAAACTGGCATATAATTGATAACATACAATTCATTAGTTCAGTAGTTGGCAATCATCACCAACATCACTTTTAGCAATTTTTCTTCTTGTATATATTTTTGTTAGCACCCTATTAAAAGATTTTTAAAAAGAAAGAGAGTGGGGTGGAATTGACATTAGATTATATTAGTAGCATATTAAAAACATGGAGTAAATTTTAGAGTAGTAATTGTGCCGTCCTATTTTTCCATAAAACTACTAATAATTCATTCTTTACAAACACATCATAGCCCCGTTGTCGGTGGGGGGGGAACCAGTCCCTGCTTGGTAGTTTCAGCAAATAAGAGAAAGACGCTCAGTGAGAAGGACTGACAGCGGCCCAAATGGAGCAGTGATGAGGCAGGCAATGGTGCAGGATGAGGCAGTGTTTCATTCCGTTATACATAGGAACTGATGCGTTGTCACCGACAGCCATGCTAACAGCTTTCAACCCGAGTTTTATCTGGCAAAGGAGAAGGGCATATTTCAAACTTCTCTGACTACCTTGATATTTTTATATTACCTACTTATTACCACACAACATAATCATCTTTTAAATGTTATCTAATTATTTTGTACTTGGTCATCATTCTGATGAGAGATGTTGGACCTAATAGGTTGACCCTTGAATAACTTTCCTCCCCCACAGTGGAAAATATATGTGTAACTTATGACTTCCCCAAATTTGACTACAAATGGTCTACTGTTGACAGGAAGCCGTATCAGTAAGGTACACAATTGATTAACACAAACTTTGTATTTATATGCATTCAGTACTGGGCAATAAGAAGGTACCTCGTAGGCTCTGTGCCACAGTTTCTGGTGCATCTGGTCTTGGCAGTTTCCCCCACTTCAAACAGTTCTTGAATGTGCTCTTCCAAATGGTCCTCGGAAGGAACCCTAGTGGTGTAGTGGTTCTGCATTGGGCTATGAACCACAAGGTCAGCAGTTTGAACCTACCATCCACTCCATGGAAGAAAGACATAGCTTTCTACTCCCATATGTGTTACAGGCTTGGAAACTCACAGATGGTCCTGGAATTTCTCTCTTGTGTTCCAGATGGCTCTTACACATTAGGGAATGACTGGTTTATATGTTAGCCAACCACACCCCCAATGAAAACAAAGGATAGTGTCTTAAATCACACCTCTAGTAAAGTAGAGGAAATAGATTTTTTATTGTGATAACGCAGTTTACTTAAGAGCCAAATTGCTCACACAGAGATGATTAGATCATAGGTGTTTTGGGTTTGGGGGCTTTTGTATGCAAGCTAAACTCATGTTCGAATTAAAGGCAAAAAGGTCTCTGAATCTTAGTGTGTCCTCTGTTTCCTTTTCAGGTTACCAAATGTGGAGGTTTACCTGAAAATATTTTGGATGTCTGGGAGTTTTTGGGCAAACCCAAGCATTGCCAATATACATGGGACACACAAATGAACTCTAATCTAGGAATACCCGCCAATTATAAGCTTCGATTTGATAGAATATTTTTCAGAGCAGCAGCTAAAGGGGGCCACATTATTCCTCAAAGTCTGGACTTGCTTGGGCTGGAAAAGTTGGACTGTGGCCGATTTCCTAGTGACCACTGGGGCCTGCTGTGCATTTTAGATGTAATATTGTGAAATGCTTTTCAAGTGTGAGTTCTAAATGTATTGTGTGGTTTTGTTAAGGATCTTTGCAAAAATAATTTATACTGTCTGGAAAGGTAGCTGTAATGTGGAGGCGTTAACATACTGGATCATTGTAATAGAATTCTTTAAAGACTGGTTTTATTTTGTGAATTGTGTTCTCAGGTTTCAGAACTAAATTAGTGTCTACTTTAAGGCATGCCCGTTTTCAGAATATGAGTGTTCTTAATGAAAGACACAAAGCCTACTGGAGCTTTTAGCAGTGCTCCAACTTCAGCTGCACTCCAAGTGGGGCCAAGGGTCTCCAGGCAAGTCTTTACACTTGGTTTGCTTTTATCAACCAAGGACCCTCATCGGCAATGTTGCAAATAAGTCTTCAAAATAAATTTCTTTTGTCCCAATGTCATGGAGAATTTCTGACTACTTGGGAGTATGTATTTTAATTATATTTGACAAACTCAGATGATCCTAAAAGTGCATGGTCAGCTCTTGAGAGCAGTTTTACATCAGACTTGATGCCTGCCCACTGGCTCACAGTTCATCCTAGGTTAGCTGTTGATGAAACCTTCCACTTTAAAATCCCATGTGTTTGTTTATTTAGGTTTATAGTTTTCTCATCTGCAGAGGCAGAGTTGGCCTTGAGAATGACTAAATTCAGTGTCATTGGGGCAGGAGACTTTTTTTTTGTTTGTTTTTTGGCATGAGACTTTAAGAGAAAAATAAGTGTGTAAAGAAAAAAAATAGCCTTTTCGTTTTGCTACGTGTAAAATCGAATTATTTTGCAAGAGATGAATAATAGGTACTTTTAGATGAGTTTTACAAAATCAAGCATTCCTGCCAGGGAAACTTACTTTAAATAAATACTTTTACTTATTTGTGGCCTATCTTAGTAAGTTTTTCTGCCTTGTGAAATTAAAGTTTTTGCTTCCTGTTTTTTGACTCCCCTGTAGCTGTGCAGAAAAAAACAGGTTTCCATGTGGCTCTCCCTCTGTCAAGAAATATGTTGGTTTCTTCAGTGTATAAAAAGGAGACCGTGGGAATGAGTAGAATGAAAAGTGTCAAAATTAATCACTAAAACATGTAAAAGAAACAAGTTAAATAGTGGCAATGAAAAGAAATTTTGTCTGTTGTTTTAATCATTAAATATAAGCAAGCATTATTGCTAACACATTGGTAGCATACATTAGGAAGATAATAAAATACTCAGTGGTTGATCAGATGAAACAGTTATCGAATCATTTTATGAACCCATGTCCTGCTTATCGTCACAAAGCAAACACTGCTAAGTGGGAACAAGGAAACCACACGGAGGCTTTTCATTGGTAGTAGTTCTCAATTACGTAATTAAGAACCTACGAATTTGCAGTCTGGCGTTTTTCCACTTTGAATCTTGTTTTTCTAGTATAACAGCAGTGCTTCCTTCTTAATGAAATTCCTACTCGGCCTGAATCTTAGACTTCTACAGGCACCCCTTTGATCTTGAGCCATATCATTGTACTCATGTGGAACTCAGCCCACTCACACCGACCCTCATGGTAGGTGAATTTAAACAAGTAGTTTAGCCTTCTAGACCAAACTACAGTTTCTGTCACCTTCTACAAGGTAGTTCCTATCCTCTATAATCTTCAGTTAAACGGAGGCTTAGCTGGATTATGTCCCTTGTCTAAACCTGTGGAGTAGCCGAATAGAGCCATGCTCATTTAGTCTATGTGAGTCAGTGAAGCGTTGCACTATATCGGTGGTTCTCAACCTTTCTCATGCCGCAACCCTTTAATACAGTTCATTTTGTGTTGACCCCCCAACCATAAAAATATTTTTGTTACTACTTCATAACTGTAATTTTGCTACTGTTATGAATTGGGTGACCCCTGTGAAAGGGTTGTTCAACCCTCAAAGGGGTCGCAACCCACAGGTTGAGAACTGCTGCACCATATGCTTCTGCCTTGCTGTGTTAGTATTTTTATTATAAGAATGTTATAAAAATCCATGGTAGCATAGGAGTTTTTGCTAGTTTTTGATTCATATCACTATCTTCTCCACGCTGCACATGTACTCAGAATACCCTTCTAGGTACCTAGTTAACATGGCAAGCATAGAATTGATCAGTGTTCTTCCCGTCACAGCTTTCTGTTGACATGCAGAGCCGCCTGGAATACACCAGGAAGCTCAGAGGAGCCATGCTGGTGCAAAGGTTAAGCTTTGGGCTGTGAACTCAGAAATGCCTGCTTGAAAGGCACACATCATGCAAAACTGACCTGGTGATCTGCTCTCAAGAAGTCAGCCTTAGCAGCCCTACAGGGCAGTTGTGCCTGCTACCGGGTCTCTAAGCCGGATCCACTCAGCCACATACCAGACTCAAGTTCCGCTAGGGAATTAGAACTTGTGTAGCGACGTGACCTGGCCTCAGGGAACACATTCACAAAGGGTCTTTGGGTCCAAAAATGCTATTAGTAGGATTGTTCTGTTGACTCCACTCTAATTGGTATAAGTTTTGTGCCAGCATGTCATCCACGATTCTCTTCTTTTTTCATGTGTGTATTTATTGCGACCAACCTTCCTCTGATAAATGCCTTTGCTGTATCCCAAAGGTTTTGGTATGTCGTATTTTCATTCTCATTGGTTTCTAGAAACTTCCTGGTTTCATCTCTGATCTGGGTCAATACCCACTCCTTTTGCAATAGAGAATTGTTCATTCTCCAATTGTTTGCCCTTGTTTTCTTCGCTGTTTTTCTGTTAATTTCCAGCCTGTGGCACAGTGATCGGAGAGATATGTCTGTATAATCTCTATGTGCTTGAATTTACTCAAGTACGACTTGTGCTCCAGCATATGGTCTATTTCCGAATATGTGCCATGTGGGCTTAAAAAGAATGTGAATTTTTTTGCCTATGGGTAGAAAGCTCTGAAAATATCCAGTCAAGTCATCCAGTTGTGCTATTTAGATCTGTAGCTTTCTTGTTGAGTTTCTTTCCCAGTAATCTCTCTTTTTCAGAGTGGTGTATTAAGTCACCAACTATACTTGTTGAGCCTGTGATTTCTTTTTCATCTTTTGGAGTGTTTGATTACAAATTTCGCAGGTCTCTCATTAGGCGCATAAATATTTTTTATGCTCACTGGTTCTTGGTCTACTGTTCCCGTGAGCATTATATACTGCCCCTCCTTGTCTCTTGTTATGGCCTGTATCTTGTAGTCAATTTTGTTAGATACTAAAATCGCTACCACTGCTTTTTTTGCATTGCCATTTGCCTCATATGCTCTCCAATCTTTAATTCTCAACCTGTTTTGATCTGCAAGCTTGAGATGTGTCTACTGGAGGCAGCACATCAACGGGTTATGTTTTCTGAGCCAGTCTGTTAGCCTCTGCCTTTCAATGCCTCAGTTCAGGCCATTGATATTCAGTGTTATTACATCCATCTGTGGACTCTGATGTCATCTTGTACCTTTTGTGTTGGATATTTTCCTATCTATCTTATCTGCTTGTGTTGTGTGTGTGGTTTGTTTGCCGTATTTCCACTATTGAGCCAATGCTACCTTGGGGGCTGTTTCCTCTTTGTCGCCCTATGGGTGGAGTTGTTCTATGTGATGGTCTCTTATTTGCCCTGAGTGAGTATTGATCTGCCCGTACTGGATCGGCAAGGATTTTTTGTAGGGCTGCGTTTCTTTTTGTGTATTCTTCGAGGTTGTTCTTGTCTGGGAAGAATCATACTTCTCCATCTATCTTAATAGATAATTTGACTGGGTAAAGTATTCTTCGCTTTGCATTGTTTTCCTTCAATTTTTGGAATATGTTACTCCATTCCCTCCTCTTCTTCATTGTTTCCGCTGATAGGTCTCAACGTACTCTTATTGTGGTACCTTTATACGTGACTATTTGCTTTTCCCTACCTGCTTTTATGATCTTCTCCTTTTCCTCAGCATTGGATAATTTGACAATTATGTGTCTTGGTGACTTCTTGGGATTCAGTCTGGCTGGTGTTCTTTCAGCCTCCTGAATGGTTCCCTGATTTTCATTTATTAAGCTGGGGAAGTTTTCCTCTAAGAATTCCCTCGCTATTTTCACTGCTGACTTCTTTGTTGTGTCTTCTTCCGGTAGTCCAATCATTGTAATATTGTTCCTCTTCATAGCATTAGACATGGCTCAAGTTTTCTTCAGCTTCTCTGATTCTTAATTTACTGCTTTTCCCGTTTGCTGAGGTCTGCTTGGTTATCCTCTAGGTCATTGGTGTGATTCTCTGCCTCCTCAAGTCTGTTCGCAAAGTCTGTCCATTTTCCACCGATTTTGTTATTTCATCCCTTAAGTCTTGAATTTCCCTTTGGTGAGTTGCCTTTATTTCCTCTATCATTTCATCCTTTTTTTTTGCATTGCTTCCCTCATATCCTTTATGACTCCAAGCAGCATTCCGAAAATTCTTTTTGTGGCAGGTCAATATCTGCTTCTTCTATGCACATCATTAGGTTCATGACTTCTTCCAGCATTGTCTTCTGGTGCTCCTGATTTTTTCATTGATGCTATTAGGACTGGTTGCTGTTTGCGTGTTGTTTTATAGAAGCCTGGAGCCATCTTCCAGAGTCGAAGAGCACTGGGCTCTCTCTTGGGGGACTCTTATGGGTGCTTTTATGAACTACCTGCCGGTAGCTGTACTGAAGGCTCAGGCTATCACTATATCTTCCTGTGGTTTCTTTCTTACCCTAGCTGTCCAGTATTCGGTTATTTGGAATGTGAGTTGGATAGTCCTCTCGTGACGCTGGTCAGGTTGTTGTGGGCTCACAAGGGTGTCGCTTCACTGGCTGGTCTCTAATTAGGCCTCACGGTGCTTGAAGCATCTCGGGTGGCCTGTGGTGATTCCCTCTGCAACTGTGGAGTTCCAAGGAGGGAATGTGGGTATATCCTCCTCGGTGTAGAGCTCTGTCGCTGGCAGGAGGAATTACCGTAGACAGAGAGATCGCCTTGGAGGTTGGGTGGATGTTCCTGCAGTAGCGTGGAGCTGCACCAGTGGTGGGCAGGTGTTTCCCCAAGTCACTTGTAGGGCCTCGGGGTTTAGGCTGGAGATACCCCCACTGTTTTCAGGGGAGAATCTGCTGCTGCTTGGTGTATGGGAGAGGATGGGTGATTTCCCAAGCTGTGTGCAAAGCCAACAAATGTGGGTGGGAGCAACCCCCGTTGGGCCTTCAGAGTTGGCCTAGGTGGGGGGAGTGGCCTGGAGGCTGCTAATGGCTTGTGAAAGGAAGGAGAGGAAAAAGAGAAAGAAGAAAACAAACTGGAGCAACAATGCCAAACAAACCAACACCCACTCAGACACATACAACTAAATACACAGAATAAACGTGAAAACAGTAATAAAATAAAAAAAGAAAGCAACAAAAAAGGAGAACTGAATCTGCTGAGACTGTCAGGAAAGAGAAGAACTAGAACAAGAGGAGAAAAGAAAAAGAGAAAGCAAAGGAGAGAAAATTTTAAAAATGGATAAAGAGATAGCTGTCTCGTGCTGTGTGCAGCACTGTCTTAGGGAGGCAGGCTGTAGCTCTCCCCACTGGATGGGCAGAGCTGACCTAAGCAGAGGGTAGGGGTCTGGGAACCAGCAGTCGCATATGAAAGGAAAGAGAGGGAGAGGAGAGAATCATACAAGCAGAGAGAGAGAAGAGCAAAGAAGAAAGAAAGAGAAGGGGAAAATCCCAACTGTGCTCACTTAGATTGGCTGTGGTGGTAAAGAGGGAAGAGAGAGAGAGAAGGAGGAAATAAAGAATAAAGAGATAGCTGATCCCTGATTGCTTGAATGTGGGGCCAGAGGGGTTTAGACCCTGCCCCACAATGGCAGGTTGGTGTGCTCTTTAATGCAGGGACCCAGTGGTGCTGAGGGGAATTGCCCTGGTTGCAAGATCATCTTAGAGGTCTGGCGGAGGTTTCCTCAGCAGCACAGTGGGCTGTAGATGGCTGTCACAGCTGCCTCGTGTGGTGTGCAGCACTCGCACAGAGGGCAGGCTGGGGTTCCCCTGCTATTTGGGTTGATTTGCCCTATAGGCGGAGGGTAGTGACCTGGAAGCCAGTAGTGGTGTATGAAAGGAGAGAGAGGGAGAGATGACAAAAGGGGAAAAGAAACAAAAAACCCCAACAGAAACCCGAGCTCGTTGAGACTGACTGCGGTGGGAAAGATAGAAGGACCGGCAAATAAAGAACAAATAGAGTGGTAAGTAAAGAGATAACTGAGACTTGATCACCTGTC